TGAATATCCCAGTTCCTCCCTGTGTCGGCACAAGGGGCAGTTCGGCAGCTGGAAACCTTCTCTGGGGTTGCTCTGCACCAGCATGGCTAGTTCAAAGGGGCTGCAGAGCAATGATGAATTGGGGGCCCTCTGCCTCCGGACCTGTCCCAGCAGCAGCGGCAAGGCCGGTGCTGGGGCACTGTCCAGTCCTGATGCAAAAACCCTACGGTGGAGCTCCAGACATGGGGGAGGGTCCTGAAATTAACTGTCTAGAAAACCGGCCTTGCAGTGGGAGACCTAATGTGCCTAAACTATTGAGTTTATCAAAGAGGTGACTTCCAGAGTCTAGAAGTACCTCCAGAGAGCTGGTTCAACTGAACGAAGTGGGCTTGATATGGGAATGTCATGGTGAAATTCTCTCTGGTCTGTGATCAGCAGTAGCGCGGGCTAGGAGTCTGTCACAGGTGCTCAACTTAACTCTTGTCAACAGCAGGCAGGTGCAGCTGGTTTAATTACTGGCCAAACCATCTTGCGTGGCTGCAGTGATACTGGTATAAAACCTCCGCCGGGTCCCCCAACGGCCAGAAGCTATTCTGCTACAAGCCCCGTTTTCAGCTGATGCCTCTCCGCACTAGGCCTCTTTTCTTGGCCTAGCTATTTCCGTTTGGGGGCAATTCTCTTGACCAGCCATGGCTATGTGGGTGACGTGTAGACCAGGCCTAAATCTTAAAGAACTGACTTAAGCTGTTGGGTTTGAAGGTATCTGGAGACCTTTGTTCTCCTGCCCAGTGCGAAGCTTATTGCTTACAGACGCCGTTGCCCTGGAAAAGGCAGTGATCTCTGCACACCTACCTGTGCTGTACAAACACCATGGTGGGGTTTCTATGGGGCTTGGAGTAGGAGCAGCTGGGGTGGAAATGCACCTACCTAAGGGGAGTAGACCATGTTAATTTACCAAAATTAATGTGAGCTGTCTAACTTCAGCCTGAATTGCTTTTCCAGTGGGTGCCACCTCCAGGAGCCCCTCCCTTGACCAAAGGGTGGAGACTATCACTCCTGGCCCCTCTCTGCACCCAGATTAAAGGGAAAGTACATCCCACACCCTCAAGTGTCTAGCCTATAACAATTCCTGATAAGCAAACTGTTCAAAATCAAGCACCTCCTTTACGTAAACCCAGAGCTAAACGTTGCAGAAGCAGGCTTAGAATCGCTCTTAGCATGTCCATGGGGCTTGCACTCAGAGCTCTGGGAACATGGGCTAACCCTTCTACGCCAGGGGAGTGTTGCTGTCTCCATTTTCTAGATGGTTACCAGGCACAGAGGTGAGGTGGTTTGACATCTGTGAGGTTGGTGCGGGAGCTGTGATTAGAATGTAAGAGTCCCAAGCTCTCAGTTCTGTTTCTAATCCACTAGGATGTGGTCTGAGTGAAGCCAGGATCTGGTGCTACTCATCTTTCTAATTAAAAAGGCTACTTCATCTGGCAAAGATCACATCAGGGAACAGTATGCTCACGGCAGCTCTTACTGTGAGGCTAAACTGATCCTGGAAAGTATTGAGGTTACAGCCACTCTAAGTCTGGCCAGCTAGAAACCTGTTCCGAGAAGAACGTTCCTTGATTTTTACTAATCGCTGGTGGGCTGATTAGTGAATACCTGCCCCCTTTCTGAGGCTGGGACACCATTCTGCTTGGACAGCATGCTTTCCTGGTCCAACCTTGAGTGGTGAATCTCCTGGGCGGTAGTGGTGGGAAGTGTCTCTGGCGTTCACTTCAGCCATGCAGAAGGAAGGTTAGATAGTTGCCGAGCGCAAGCCCAATTGGGAAAGATCTTGAATGCTTTAGGGCGGCGGCCTGGAATCAGAACCAAAGTGCAGGCCTGATGCGCAGTGTACTGCAGGGGGAGAAACTTTTTTTTTCCCCTGGGTGACTCACAGGGCCCTGGGCTGTAGCTGTTGTGATTTCCATCCATCCCCTATCAGAAGTTTCTGGCCTCTTTTAAATACCAAATTAAAGGCAGGCCAGCTGGGATACTCTCTTGCGACATGTCCCTTGGCAGTCGAGACGAGAGCTTGGATCAAACGGCAATGCCTGGAGCTGGGTTCCAGGACGCCAAAGGCCGGAGGTGTTTAGATGCAGGTATTCAGGCCTGTCCCGTTATCAAGAGCGGGGCTGGTTGCAAAATAGGGGTCTGCTTTTGAAGAGAGCAGTAGCATACGTCATTAAACTAGGTACAAAATATTTGCAGCGTTGCCTACTGAGGATGGAAGTCACAAGCGTTAACGTGTCAAAGAGATATACTGCCACCTAGGGGATGCAGCCTGTAGCACATTGCACCGAAAACCGCTTTCTCCTTTAGCAGGGGATGTAAGGGTTGTGTGTATGGCTTAGATGCAGTTGAGACCTATCCCCGTTTAGGATTCTGCATGCTGTGAGTGCACAGAATTTATAACAGTCAATAGCCATGAAATCTATGTAGTTATGAATTTGTTAAACATTCTTCCCCTGGGCAGTGTCTCTTTAAATGTAAATATGCCTCTTAGACCGCATTATCTGTGTGCACAATAGCAATGATTTGATTACCTCTGAATAATTTTTTTTTTTTGTGGATGAAGGATCTGATGATGCAGCTTGTGAATATATTGTGCTCTGCATTAATTCAGTTGCTCTTTGTTGGCATTTGATGGCTCTCCTGTTCTCTGCAGCCCGTTTTTCTAACACGGGGCTTAATAAAATATGCATTAGCGCTATATGGCGATGCAAGAGCTTTTTGAACTTGGCATGATTTTCATTCTTGCTCCTGGGCTTTCGCTCAAAATCTAACGTTCGTAAAGATGAAACGTTGTCCATCATGCATGCTCCAGGCTGCACGATCATTATTTATGCTTTAAAATTTAGGTGGGCGGGGATGGGAGGGGAGACCCACTGCATTTGGGATCTTAAGCATCACCTGCGAATTCACTCACCGAGCACGTCTGCTAGTGGGCCAAAGGCTCCCTGAGTTTTAGCAAGCCCTGGTGAATGGAGATCAGAACAACTCTGAGATCGTTGTGCAGAGGAAGGAAAGGGGCTCGGGGGAGCGATAAATGGCTGGGAAGCCATTTCACCTTGAAGTCGTCATCCTTGAATCCAACCAAAGCAGGTAGGAAATGAAAATTTGCTCCCATCTGATGGGCTGGGTGGGAGGTCTAGACTTCTGCTGGAGCTAGTGCTCTAATAGAAGAGGCACCACACCAACGTTAGCTGCAGCACATAGGCACCCAGGGTCTCAGAGAGGTGTGTACAGGGGGCAGCGAGCACCTTCCTCCGCTCACAGTGCAGCTACCTTTCTATTTTTAGTGCACTTGCCCAATCAGACTAGCACAGGTATGTCTCCTGAGCTGGAAGCTACACCAGTAGCTCCAGCCTAGATGGCGCCAGAGTGGAAAAAGTTGGTCATCTCAGTCAAGAGCCCCTGCCAATGTGCTTGGGCATGGCCTGGAGAGAGAAGGAAGAACAGGCAGCATGGTGCAGTGCCAGGGCACTGGGATGGTAGAGCAGCACTCTGGGTTCAACTCTGCTACTGCCTCATTGCGTGACCTTGGGCAAGTCCCTTGTGCTTTCTGAGTCTCAGTTTCCCCACCTGCAATGTGCTGACCTTCCTGTATATCTCTCCCCGCCCCTTAGAGAAGCTCACTGTCTGTGGGCCTGCTACAGGGGGAAGCATACAGTCCAGCTCGCAGAGCCATACCCACACTGGCGCGGATTGGCTTGCGCACTAAAAGAGCGAAGCCGCAGAAGCGAGAATGGCATGCAGAGCCTGCCACCCCCTGTCGGTGCCTCAGTCTCTGACAGCTACCTAGTCGGAGCAACTAGCCCCCCACGGCCCTGTGGCTACCCACTAATTCTCGCACACCGGCTCGATCGCAGGTATGGCTCCTTGAGCTGGAGTTCACACCTTCTGCCTGTGGTGTAGACATCCCCTATACGAGCTGAGGGGTGTTATCGTGGAGGTGAAGGGAGAGGGTCGTTCAGGCCCAATCAGTCCTTCCTCTCTCCTGGGAGCAGCAGGTCTGGGACGTAGTCTGGCAGCCCCTGCCTTGCATCACAGGGGCTTCTCCTCAGCTTCCAGTCACTACCGTCCTGCCCTCGAGTTAGAGCTGGGGTGGGGGGGCAGCAAAAGGCTTTTTATCCTGTTGCCAGTCCCAAGCCCTTCCTCCCACAGTCACCTGGCTGCTGGGCACGCTCACATGCACCAATAATGCGGCTGCCAGCTGGCTCGGGCCTCACGTTGCTCTCTGCGGCCAGGTGGCCAGCCAGGCTGTGGATTAGCTACCCTCCGTATACACTGAACTGTGGGTGTCATTTAGATGTAATAAGATAAGGCCCAGACATCCCAGGGATACAAACTCCTCCTTCAAAGGCTGTTTGTGGGAGGGTCGAGGAGCTCGGCTCACTGGGATTTCATAATTACCTGGTGTTTGTTTAATACTCAGCCCTTCTTCTATTAAATCAAGTGGCAGAGGCACTGCTTCTTCTAACTACTGTAGGCCTGGATGCCACATGAAATTCAGGCTGCCGTAGCTCCGGTACGCAGGGGAGAGGGAAATGCACTGCACTATGCCAACCTAACCCCCCGGGGCAGACATGGCTATGGAGATGGAGGGGGGAGGGAATAGCTCAGTGGTTTGAGCATTAGCCTGGTAAACCCAGCGTTGTGAGTTCAGTCCTTGGG